AAACCCTACTCTTCCTCTAAACACACAACTTAATGCCTCTCTTCCCAATACTCTACCTGTGATTTCAACAAATTAATTTCAAATCACAAACAACCCGCAAAGAAAAAAGCTTCATTTTGAAAAAATAAAAATAAAAACAGAGGAAACGATCAATACCTTTAGAGAAATTTCTAGTGGCAGAAAGAATTTCAGCATAGCTTAACTTAATCAAGGAATGTGCCACAGGAGAAATACTTCTCTCAAGTGATTCAATTCCCCTCCTTTTCAACTCTTTAGAATTTGAATCAGACGAGGATCCATTATCCAAATTTACCATCAAAACAACTGCAGAGGAAAAACAACTATTCACATTTACTGATTCAAGCTCAATCTGAGAGCAGAAATTGAACCTGAAAGAGGGCACTGAGTGTGGCTCCTCAGCCCCACAGCCAACAGACTCCGCCAACAACCAAGCTTTGTTGTGCTCCAAATGGCTGCCAGGCCCGCCACAATTGTCATCAGTCCCCTGATTCTTACCGGAGCTCCGGCGCCGGTGAGGTTTGAAGCAATTTAAACCAAAATCCCTTATCATTTTGTGCAGGAAAGACTTGAATTTTACCTCATAATAATCATTTTCAGAGTTCACGTAGAATTCATATACAGCATTAGAAAATGCAGTTTGTTTCTTGGAGGGGAATTTTTTTTGAAGAGGCTCTACAGAGCCAGTGCAATCATTTTTTGCAAGTCCCATTTTGATTTTTAGAATGAAGCCCAGAAGCCAAAGCAAGAAATTTGCGAATAAAGAAAGAGGAAAAGGGGAAAAAGTTGAAACAACTTTTACAGAGGGACTACTTTTTGGAAGAGAGGAAAATGCAGTCTTGAGGTCATGTGAATCTGAACAAAAATACAAATTTTTTGTATTGTTGCCGAGGGTTGCTCTTGTTTGTATTAAGCCCCTGTTTAACCACCGTTAAATGAAAAATATCATGTTTTGAAGAGTAATTACATGAATAAGGCTTCTTGCACATTGTTTGCTTGATATGGAGTTTGACACTCTATTGTTTTCAAATGTTTTCAAAAATGGAGTTGACGAGACAGTGCGATTTTTCAAAAATTGCCCAATGTGATGTCACCATGTGGCACAATGTAAAACTTAATGTCAAACTCAATGTAATTGTAGCAAGATTATTGTTAAATTGCTTCAGGGATTGCACGTGATTGTTTTTATGTTTTTAATTATTGTTTCAGATTTTTTTAAGTCAAAAGTTAGACCTAGTCTTATGAGCTGTTATTCAGTTACAATGTGCACCAAATTCTTGCTTTTACTTAGGCTACTTATTAGTTTTTCAATTTTCTTTCCAGCTATAAATGTAAGGCTATCAATTGAATAAATAATTTCTTTTTGCTACTGCTCCCTATCTGCTGGTTCAATTTCTATTCTTTCATCTCTAAAAACCTTCATTTGGTATCAGAGTTTTTTTCTCAAGGGATCTATGTATAATGATGGAAGCTAAAGCTAGTTTTTTCTCAAATTACTCCTCCAGCCTTCAATGGAGAAAACTACCAGCTTTGGGCAGTGAAAATGGAGACTTACCTGGAAGTTTTAGATCTATGGGAAGCCGTGGAAGAAGATTACGAAGTTCCACCGCTGCCGGACAATCCAACCATGGTCCAGATCAAGAATCACAAGAAAAGAAGAACCAGGAAGTCAAAGGCAAAAGCAATTTTGTATGCTGTTGTTTCAACAACTATATTCACGAGAATCATGCCTCTCAAAACAGCAAAAGAAGTTTGGGATTATCTAAAGGAAGAATGTGTAGGAGATGAAAGGATAAGAGACATGCATGTGCTGAACTTAATAAGGGAATTCGAATTGCAAAAAATGAAAGAATCCGAGACAACCAAAGAGTACTCAGATAGACTGCTTGGCATTGTCAACAAGGTCAGATTACTTGGCACTAAATTTACTAGTTCAAGAATTGTCAAAAAAATTCTTGTCACTGTGCCGGAAAGATATGAAGCTTTAATAACCACATTGGAAAACACACAAAGGATCTGTCCAAAATCACCTTGGCAGAGCTATTAAACGCCAAGCTCAAGAGCGACGAAGACTTATGAGACGAGATGGTGTTATTGAGGGAGCTTTGCCAGTCAAGTACTAGGATGCTGGGAGGAATAACAAGAAGAAGAACTCTAAGCATAATCAAGTCTCAAGCTGTGAGAACACTTCCAACCACAATCGAAGCAAGGGTGGAAGCTCAAAAAGAAATTATCCTCCTTGTACGCACTGTGGTAGAACAGGTCATCCACCATACAAGTGCTAGAAGAGACCAGCTGCAAAGTGTAGCAAATGCAATCAGCTTGAAGATGAAGCTGTGATTTGCAAAAGCAAATTTCAAAAGCAAGAAGCAGATGCCCAGGTTGCTGATCAAGATAAAGAAGACCAAATTTTTGTGGCAACATGTTTTTCTACAGGAAGCTCTTTAGAATGTTGGCTGATTGATAGTGGTTGTACAATCCACATGACTTATGATATAACTCTCCTTAAAGAGTTGAAGCCTACTGGAGTAACGAAGGTCAAAATTGGAAATGGTAGTTATATTCCTGCAAAAGGAAAAAGGGACCATTGCAATTACAACAAATTCAGGTACAAAAATAATATCTGATATTCTTTATGTACTTGATATTGATCAAAATTTGTTGAGTGTAGGCTAGTTAATAGAAAAAGGATTTAAAGAGTCCTTTGAAAATTGGTATTTCCGTATCCATAGTGCTACTGGACAGGAGATTTTGCGAGTTAAAATGAGAGGTAAAAGTTTCTCGTTTGTCCCAACGGAGGAGGAGCACATAGCTTATACTACTAAGGTCAGCATTATCGAAATCTAGCACAAGAGGCTCGGGCATTGTCATCTTCAGCGAATGTTGAAAATGAAGAAGAATGATATGATAAGAGGCCTACTAGTTCTCACTGATCATTTATCAAATTGTCATGCATGTCAATTTGGTAAACATAATAGGATTGCATTTCCTAAATCAACATGGAAGACCTTAAAAAAACTACAACTTATTCAAATAGATGTGGCAGGACCTCAAAGAACTCCATCACTTCAAGGTAGCCTTTACTATATTCTTTTCATTAATGATTTTACAAGAATGTGTTGGATTTTTTTTCTTGAAATTCAAGTCAGAAGTGGCTTTAGTTTTCTGGAAGTTCAAGAAAAAGGTGGAGAATCAAAGTGACTGCAAAATTCAAGTTCTAAGGTCTTATAACGGAAAGGAATACACCTCGGCAAAATTTAATTTGTTCTGCGAAGAAGCTGGCATTGAACATCAGCTCACTGCTCTTTACACTCCAAAACAAAATGGAGTTAGCGAAAGGAGAAATAGATACATCATGGAGATGGCCAGATGTATGTTGCATGAGAAGGAGTTACCAAAAAAAAGTTTTGGGTGGAGATAGCCAATACAGCAGTATTTCTGCAAAATTGACTTCCAAGCAAAGTTTTAGAAGACAAAACTCCATTTGAGGCTTGGTATGGTTATAAACCTTCATTAAGCTTCCTTAAAGTGTTTAGTTGTGTGTGCTTTGTCCATATTCCACATGTTAAGTGGGATAAACTTGACAAGAAAGCAATTCCACGTATTTTTGTGGGTTTCAATTCATATTCTAAAGCCTACAAAATGTATCATCCTCAAACAGGAAAAATGGTGATCACTAGAGACGTTCACTTCAACGAGGATGAGCAATGGGACCGAGAAGATTCACCAAGAATAGGCAGACTCTTACAAGAACTTAAAGGCAACTCTCTTGGAAAATGAGCCTCCAGTCAGAGGAAAAGGCTACTTTCAGACATCTATCAAATATGTAATGTGGCAATATATGAACCTGCTGGACATGAAAAAGCTCTTAAAGATCCGAAGTGGAAAAAAGCAATGGAGGAGGAGATGTCAATGATTCAGAAAAATAAAACGTGGGAATTAGTTGAAAGACCTAAAGATAGAAAAGTCATTGGAGTGAAGTGGGTGTATAGAACAAAGCTCAATACAGATTGCACCATCAACAAATACAAGGTGAGGCTTGTCGTTAAGGGTTATGCTCAAATTTTTGGTGTTGAGTACTTTGACACCTTTGCTCCTATTGCTAAATTAGACACAATCAAATTGTTGCTAGCCACAGCAACATAAAAGGGCTAGAAAGTGTTCCAGTTAGATGTCAAATCAACTTTTTTAAATGGCATTTTGCAGGAAAAAATATATGTGGAGCAGCCAGATGGATTTGTGGTGCAAGGTGAAGAGGACAAGGTCTATCTACTGAAAAAGGCTCTTTATGGCCTAAAACAAGCACCTAGAGCCTAGTATAGCAGAATAGATGATCATTTGCTAAGTATAGGCTTTATAAAAAGCTTATCTGAGATAACTCTTTACGTTAAAAAGAAGGACAATGATATTCTCATAGTGTCTCTTTATGTTGATGATATTTTGGTAACAGGAAATAATGCATGGCTAGTTGATGAGTTCAAACAAGAAATGATGCAAGTTTTTGAAATGATAGATCTTGATCTTATGACTTACTTTCTTGGGATGGAAGTCAAGCAAAGCCAAATTTAAGTGTCCATTTGCCAAAAGAAGTATGCAAAGGAAATATTGAAGAAATTTCAGATGGAGGAGTGCAAAGCAACAAGCATACCTATAAATCAAAAAGAGAGGCCGAGTAAAGAAAATAGTGCTAATAAAGTTGATGAAAGTTATTACAGAAGTCTGATTGGTTGCTTAATGTATCTAACTGCAACGAGGCCTGACATTTTAGTTGCTGTAAGTCTCTAATCTCGATTTATGCATTGTGCTAGTGAAATGCATTTAAGAGCAGCAAAAAGAATATTAAGGTATATTAAAGGCACTGTTGATTATGGTGTCAAGTTTGAGAAATGTCAATACTTCAAGATGTGTAGATTCTCAGATAGTGACTAGGCTGGGTCTATTGATGACATGAAAAGTACCTCAGGATATTGTTTCAACTTAGGTTCAGAAGTATTCTCATGATGCTAAAAAAAAAGGAGATTGTAGCACAATCCATTGTAGAGGCAGAATTCATTGCAGCAACAGCAGTAGTGAACCAAGCTTTATGGCTAAAGAAAATTCTGTCTAATCTACATATGGAGCAAAAATGTACCACTGAGATTTTTGTTGACAATCAGGCAGCAATTGCAATTTCTCACAATCCAGTGTTTCATGGGAAAACTAAACATTTCAATGTTAAGCTCTATTTCTTGAGAGAAGTACAGCAAAATGGAGAAGTAACTTTAGTTTACTGCAAATCTGAAGACCAATTGGCGGATTTCTTTACAAAATCACTGCCAATCAAAAAGTTCAAACTTTTAAGGCAACAAATTGGAATTTGCAATTCCTAAAGCAAGGAGGAGCGTTAAAATTGCTTCAAGGACTGCATGTGACTTTTTTATGTTTTTAATGATTGTTTCAAATTTTTTTCAGTCAAAAGTTAGACCTAGTCTTAGGAGCTGTTATTCAATTACAACGTGCACCAGATTCTTGCTTTTACTTGGGCTACTTATTAGTTTTTCAGTTTTCTTTCCAGTGCTACTGCTTCGTATCTGCTGGTTCAATTTCTATTCTTTCATCTCTAAAAACCTTCAATTCTAATTATATTACCATTACAAATTTTAATTACTACATCACATTATAATCACACCACGATTAAAATATATTTTTAATAAATACACCACAACACAATTACAATTATACTCCCAATTTAAGGGGAAAAAATATTATATTGTGGTGTACTTATCACCAATATTAAGCCTCATCCTCTCAACCTTCCCCCTCATTATTTCATAGCCATTGGAAACAGAAGATCGAGGAAGAACACCACACCATATTCATACAAGCAAAATTCAATAAGGGGATTCTGCATATGAAAGTGAGGCCATGTTTTAATAAATTACTCTTAGAACCAATTCTTCTTGAATGCAATTAGAATTTCAATAGTAAAAACACTTGAGAACTAGAAATGTAGACAATCATGATCATGCGATAAACAAGAACAAACAGACCATCAGCAAACTATGAAATTTTACCCCTTTCAATAGTTTGCATATCTAACTCAATTTGAAGAACCACATCAGATTTTTTCCATATGGAGGTACCTTAGTTCTTTACAAAAGATAATGCATGCACGGTAATTCATAAACCTATGTACACACAAATTCATGGACCTACAAACACACAAACTCATGGACCATTATGACTAGTGCATTCTAAACGTACAGACCACATTTACAGAGCCCTTACAGAACTTTAAAAAAATAATGACGTGGCCGCCAAAGGAAAAGGAAAAGGGCGGGAACCATAGTGTTAAAAAAAAAGGGTGGGAAGAGATTGACGACTCATTCTTTCTTCCCAAAAACAAAGCCCTAGAATGGTTTAGAGAAAACGAAGCTATTTCCCATGAAATCCCAGTTAATCTTACCAGTCGAAAGTGAATGCTTCGATTAGCAAATTTTCGGCTAGATTGTGAAGGTAAGTGAAAGGGGCGTTCAGCGTGTATAATTTTCGTTTCCTTTAACTCGTCAGGTTACTTCACCGGAAAGAGGAAAGCAAAATCTGGGGTTCTCTCCAAATATCCAATGTCAGGTACCTCATTATTTTTCTAAAGTTTACTGGTAAATAATAAGTGGATACAAGAAGTTATTTATTGTAGTTGCATTTGATTCTGTGGGTTCGTAAATACGAACTGAACAGGGGAACAAGTATGTCAAAGTGAGGAAGATAAATAAGCACACAAATTAGGGCTTTTAGAAGATTACAGTGTTGATTTATTTGGAAAATAATTTTTTTATGTCTGGGCACTTGTTCCATTATTTCTACTTCTGGCACTTGTTTTCTTCTTGATTTTATACATGTCTTGTGCTATACACAAAAGGTAGACAAGTTTAAATGTTTCGTTTTACATGAATTTTCCAACAATTGTCAGGAACTTGAGGTGAAATGTTTGGACTAATTTATCTTTTATTTGAGACTAATTATTGACGCTTAAACTTCCATTTTCCTTGAACAAGTTAGTTGAAGTAT